CTCATCTTTCTCCCGCGGAGCGGCTGGTAGTTTCGAACCGCTGACCTTAAGGTTCGCAGCCCGATTCGTAACCACTACGCTACCAGAGCTAGGTGTGCTCAATACAAAGCAAGAAGTAAATGTGAAGGTCACATGATCACAGCATAGAATACAGTCTGAAATTCACAACATGGTTTGACTAGCCATGTGTGATATATACCCCTCACTAGTCTTAGCTCACATTTTCATCTTTGGTTGCCATGTTCTCTATATTGGCCTTTTCAGCCCCTCAAACCCACCTCATTCCTGCCTGTCCCAAAGTCTCAGCATGCTAAGCCCCAGGCCTGGACCACTCTTCTATCACCTTCACCTTAAGGCTCAATGTAAGGGCCGCTTGATCAGAAGCCTTCCTTGACATCCTTGCCACTAATGGGGGACACGAGTCATACAACCACACATGAAAAACTTATTGGGGTGATATTTGTTTACAATAGTTGTACCCCCACTTGACAGTGAGCTCCAGGAGGAGGGCAGAGACCATGTCTAACTTGCTTTCTGCTCTCGTCCCAGTGTTTCAAGTCAGCACCCAGTAAACACAACAACTTAAGCAGAGCCCATGAGTAGGAACTCTCGAAATTTACTGCGGCAGAGTTTCACACTACAAATGCACGCTCCACTTCCTCCCACTGTGGCCAGAAGTAACATGTCCTCAGGGAAAATGACACACTCAAATTGCTGACATACCTGGACAGTCAAAAAGGATGTAGTCGTCCTCAACATGGCCCAGACTGCTCTCAAGCCAGTCAAAATTACTAGCGAAGTACTCCATGCAAAACACCAAGCCTCCATTGGGACCAAACCGCAAGGAGTCATCCTCCATTACATCATTCACCTCAATTAGTTCCCGAATGTCTGAAAAAGAGTCACAGGGTCCAGATTCACTAGCCTTGCTGCTAAGGATGGCTTATTACATTACAATCTCACAGCTATGAAGTTACCTCTATACATTGTTACTCAGGCTAGCAGTGGCTACTGATAGGAAAAGAATGAAATACTGATAGAATACAATCTTCCAGGTACACTGGGAAGTGAAAAATACAAGGTACAGAATTCTATAACTGTGCCATCGTTTGTGTTAAAAATAAAAAAACAACCAAAACTCACTACACACAAAATGCAAACCAAACCCATTGCCCTCAAGTCGATTCTGATTCACAGAGACCCTACAAGACAAGAGAACTGCCCATGAATTTTCCAACACCGTGAACTTTCATGGGAGCAGAGAGCTTCATCTTGTTCCAGCAGTGTGGCTGATGGGATTTAGTTACCAACCTTAGCACACTGCACCACTAGGGCTCCTTTCACTATAGATACATAACCTACATAAGGAGCTCTGGTAGAGTAGTGGTTACGAATCCGACTGTGAATCGCAAGGTCAGCAGTTTGAAACTACCAGCTGCTCCGCGGGAGAAACATGAGGCTTTCTGCTCCCGT